AAGTATGCCCTTCGAAAAAAGCATAGGGCTTGTGTGCAGCGATTAATAAACATTAAATATTCCCTGTCTTTCAGAGGTGGAAAATAAAGAGCATCTGCTTTGGTTGCTCTTGGATCTCTCCATAATTGGTTTTAAAATGTCAATATTGATTAGTTTAACAAAGTTTTAAAATTAAATGCATACTTTCATTGTAGAGCCATAGGCTTAGAAGGGGACCTCAAGAATCATCGGGTCCACCCCTCGGTACAAATGTAGGAATGCTACTCTGAAACCATCCCCTTTCCAATACATCCAGCCTGGTCTTGAAAGCCTCCAATGAAAGAGATGCCATGCCTTCCCGGGGCAGTCTATTCCACTGCCTTACTCTTCTATCAGTAAGGACGTTTTCCTGATCTCTAATTGAAATCCACTTTGCTATAATTTAAAGCCATTGCTTCATGTCTTTCCCTCTGCAGCAAGTGAGGACAGATATTCTCCCTCTTCTTTAAGGCAGTCATTTGGATATTTGATATTCGCAGAGCAATTAGAAATAAGCATCAGCTATAGATTATGAAGTGGGCCATATAATTCCAATAAAATATGGGATCAATTGAAAAAGTATATTATAATACATATTTTCAACATGGTAAAATGGCCTGTACAAAATGGTGCTAGTTGAAAATGTAATAGGAACATGGGAGTTATCATAATATTTTAAACCAGTAGCCAGTACAGGATGCTACAGAGGAAGGTGGAACAAACCCTGTTATAGACTGTTACAGAATAATTTGCCCCAAAGAAAAAGTACATCCCAAAATCTGTCATTTAGAAGTTTGCTTGTGGCGAAGGAGCTTAAAAGAACTAGATGCTGACATCCCATTGAATTCCAATAGGAAGTTAAACACATAACTCCTTCAGAAACGTGGCAACACCAGCCCAAAGCCTGAGAGTTTAGAACCCTTCCAAATATATTTAGCTTTTTTTTTTTTTAAGTGACACTTATTCTCTCACTAGCCACATAATGCCCTGTCCTGTTTGGAATTTCTTGTGAGCTCTTGACTTTGGTGGTTTATTGTGCCAGTGAGGTCTATACACTAGCTTAATTATGCCATGTATGGAAAGGTATTTCTTTGGTTTCCATTTTAAGTTTGCTCTTTTACAATTTCTTTGACTGTCACCTTTTCATATTACGAGGCAGGGAGAAGGTTCCAACTTGGCTATGCCGTATGAGTCATTATTTGGTAAATCTCTTTTCATCTGTCTGCAGTAAGCTGTCCCACTATTTTCAATCCCTCCCACTATTTTCAATCCCTCTTCATGTCCATTTTTTCATGCCCCTAATCATTCATATAACTCATCACTGAAACCATTTTATTCCTGCTATATCCATGTTTACATAGCATGATTACAGATTAACACGGTGTTTCAAGTGAGGATGTACCTTTGCTCTTTATAATTATGTTATATATTATTTTCATTTAATTTCTTATACATCCTAACATTTTGTTTGCTTTTTTGACTGCTATTCAACAATAAACAGAACCTGAGCTGTCTGGAGTGATGTGTAGTTCTTTATCCAGAGTTGGTATATAGTTAATTTAGAACCTAGTGTTTGATGATGCAATTTCCAGACACCTCCTGGAGCTTGCAGAAATTTTGCCCATTGAGGCACAGTCTTTCTAGCACTCTTGTGAGCTGATGATTAATTCCCCCTTCTATCCTACTGACACGAAAGGAAAGCCCATTTTTAACAGTGACTTCCTGAATAACCTGAAACATTTCCTTAAGTTCATTCATCTTCAGATATTTTGAATCTTTCTCTACTTGCCATTTCCCTTTGAAAATCATGAAATGTTTACACAGTATCTCTTAATCTTCCACAGATGCTCAATGAAGCCCAGTGAAGTTGTGGGTTTCATGTTGACTGCTGTGTTGCAAAATGCATTGGTGGGATGCTTTAGCTGTTTAAGGAACACAATCAGCTTTCCACATTTAGGCACATAAATGAGAGAAATGTGTTGATTTATTTCCTCCAAGTGATGTTTGATTTCTCTCCTTGTTTTGCTATACACTGTTTCAACTGGTCAAGGAAGTTGTCAATTTGGTGATTAAATACACGGTGGTAGTTGGGGTGGGACAGGATTCTGCCTCTAAAAACTTCACATTATGTTTGGTGTATTTTAACTCAGCATCTGTCTGAAATAAATGCAGTGCTTGGACGCACTAATTTCTCATATAAAGAAGTTTACTGTGCTGCATTTCCTAAAAAACAGCATAATTTACATGCCCATGAAAGGATTTTGAGAACCGTTTCTTCTCCCTCTCAAAAATGAAATCTTCTCAAGTTGGTAATGAGATTCCCCTGATCTACCTGTAACAGTTCTTACTCAGATGTACTGATTAATTCATTCAGGGCATCCTTGGTCTTGTACGCGCTGTTCATCAGTCACCTCAGACTTTGCAGGCAGTAATAGTTCACAGTAGTGAAGTTACATCTGCAAAACCTCTACTTAAAGAAACGTGTCCTGGCTTTTACAGGCCCTAGAACTGTTTCCAAGCAGTGTAACCACTAGGAAGGATGCACACACCGACTAAAGATCTGGCATTCAAAACCACAGGCAAATATAAGATCATTGTTCTTCCAATCCTGCTTCAGTTCCTGTCATTCATATATATATATATATATATATATATATGTGTGTGTGTGTGTG